ATATAAACAAACGCTCGTTCAAAAAACGTCCGGTCTTCTTACGATAAGCTCAAAGTCCTAGGTCTTCATTGATCACTCTTTTGACCGTGGTTCTGCTAAGGCCCATCTGAAGAGCTAAGAGTTTTTGTTTACGAACAGGATTTTGTTGGATTAGCGCCTACATTGCTTTAATGATCGCGGGTGTCCTAACTGTACGAGTTCGGCCGGTCGTCTTACGATCTTTGAAGCTTGAATCTTCAGTGAATCGTTTGATAGTGCGATAAACAAATCGTAGGGTTATTTTAAATTTTTGTAGAATATTGAAAATCTCTTTTGGCGCGTAACCACAGAGGAACAACGCAATTAATAATCATTCAACACACACAATCGATGAGAGAGAGTTTTAGGGCAAGGAAGTGTCCGCCGCGCTGCCCCAATGCGTGTTGGCGAACTTCACATGTCTTCGAATTTTTTTTTCTTATTTCTCGGACATGCAGGTTTCCTCACGATGTTTTCCTTCACCGCTGAGCACGTGGTAAATCAGCACTTAAAATTGCAATTAACAATTTCATTGGTGCCGGCGGGGATCGAACCCGGTTTGCTCGCGTACTGTGAAATTTACAGCGAGCGCTAACCATCTGAGCTACCACGGCTCCATATATATATATAGAGGTCAGTGGGTTATACTTATCGTCTTGTTCATAATCCCATAAAAGTCAACCGCTGCCTTTCCCGTTGTAGGGAGGAACTACCTTATTAATCACCTCGCGCCTTAGACTCTGCTTCACGTCGCTGATCTGGATAAATTACGGCTATTATACACAAGTTTTCAGCTGTAGTTAACAGCATTGCTGAAAACTTGTATATATATATATATTCGCATATAATGGCTACTTGATAGTGTGTTTCGTATGGTGAGTGTAGATCCCTTTAACTAGAAACGAGGCATTTCATCTTAGTCTTCAGACACACCATGAGGTGGATGACCTGCTCGTTTGTTACCCTTATGCTATAAAGAAACTTATCGTAAAATAAGTAAGTCTGCAATTTGTCCTGCAGCTGTGTAGGCCCTTTAGGCGGTAAAACCTGAAAGAGTTTTACCGGGCAGACACAGTCGTGATTACTGCTTGACCTTTTAACCCTTTTTAAATTGAGTAGGACAGTAACCAACTAATGGCAAACTGTCATCGTTAGAAATAAATGGGAGATTTGAAATGTAGAGTAGGTAGGCGATGAAAAATATAATCTGTAAGTAATACGAGTAGATTTTACATTTCAATTACTTACTATGAGTAAAGTTGTGTTTAGTCGTTACAGCGCGCGACGGACACAATCGTTGATCGTTGTACACTACTATTTTTTTTATACCATTGGGTGACAAACGAGCACACAGTCCATCTGATGGTAAGTGAATGCTGTGGCTCATAGACATCCACATTTATCTTCAACTAAGCATCAAAATGCAAATGCGTTGTCACCCCTGAGGACTAAGATGGAATGCCTCGATTCCAGTAAAAAGTACGCCAGTAAAAAGCACCAGTTCTCAACACTCACCATACGAAACACAGCAGCATTACGCTGCTATTTTACACTGGTATTCTGTGAGAGCGTGGTTCTGACCCGGTTAACCGACCCATTCGTGCTACAACCATAATATAGCCGTAGCGTGGCTCTACTACTATTACTAGCAGAAGATCATTAGGCTGAGTTGGATTGATTTTATCATTAATACAGCTATTGTTAATAGCACTGCCTACCTAGTATTCTACTAGTATACTTTCTTTAAAAAAATCGCCAAATAGTGTTTAAATTGAAAACTTTATAATAACTTTAAAATTACTGTGTGTAGTAGTATTTGTTATTCATTACTAAGACAATGCATTAAGTATGCAACAGGCACGATAAAAGTAATTTAGTGATGATAATCGATGGACTGACGCGTAGCGGCGTGTGTGGCTTACACGATAGGGTAGTGTCCTTTAACCCTGTGTCTGCCGCATCGCTTATCGTACGGCACGCGCTGCTACTCGCTTTACGCTGTCCCTGCTGGTCACAAATGTGATGATTTTAATTGAAAACATAAATAATGGAAAACGTCCATTGATTGTTTCCATAGCAACGCCGGAGATCGTAAACTGCGTGAACGCATCGAACTCGTAATACGTACAGCATATATACAGTGGAATGATTTCGGATTGGGTAAATCTTTTATCGCGATTTATCTATATTCGATATTTAATCTAGATCCTTTTATAATGTTATATTAATTTTAAAATTTAATAGACAAAATCAGTCCAATAATAAAATGTTGGCCCTCGTCCTAGTACATCACGCAAAAGATGACGATATATCGACATTTATCTTATTAAACAAAAGTGAACAGACTTGTTAAGCTAAATCAGTGCGGTTATCGATCTGCGGCTACATTCTCACTTACCATTACATCGTCGTGTGGAATAATAGAATAATAGTCAAGCACTATCTATATAGCCGACATAGTCCAACAGATTAGTAAGCTGAAGTGGCAATGGGCCGGCCATATAACTCGAAGAACGGACAACCGTTGGGGAAAAAAGGTTCTCGAGTGGCAGCCTCGTACCGGTAGGCGAAGTGTAGGGCGACCCCCACTAGATGGAGTGACGATCTGGTAAGACATGCAGGAAGTCGATGGATGCAGGTGGCTCAAGACCGTGCTTTGTGGCATACCTTGGGGGAGGCCTATGTTCAGCAGTGGACTTGTGAAGGGTTGTAATGATGACGATGATGACTATCTATATCTATACATATAATAAATCTGTAGAAAAGTCGTGTCTGTAATTATAATATTTTCTGGAAAAAACAAGTCCAGGGAACTAAATAAAGAGCATTGAAGCCAAATTTGTGGTTTGTAGAATTTTTGTCTGTCTGTCTGTGTATTCAAGATTCACGCAAAAACTACTGAACAGATTTCCATTTAATTTTGTGTGTAGGTAGTTAAGTACCCGGGGCTAATTATAGGCTATTTTTATCCGATTACGGAACTTCAAAAAGGGGGGGTTAAGGGTATTTCCTTCCTTTAGATGATAATTTCTATTTTATACGATTGATGTGTTTTATTAAAATAAATAAGATATTTTTTTTTTATCGGGCTTTTCGTATATTATTATATTTACTAATAAAACCCAAAATTAGTTTTAACCGTTGCGTTATAAATTGAACTACGCCGACAATCTACCATATTATTGTTGTATTCGCTTTTTCAAGACAGTGCCATCTAACGTAAAATACAAAAAGGAGTGGCATTTTGCCTCCAGTTACTAATTATATTAAATAATATAAATAAGTTACATTTATATAGTTGGCGAAGAGCGTAGACCATCGATCGGGTTTGGCACAAAGCGCTTCTTACGAAGCTTCCTTCCTATGGGCTTCCCGAGAAATTGGGCAATTGGATCACCAGTTTTAATCGTAGTAGACGGTGCAAGCTCCGAATACAAACCCATTAGCGCTGGTGTTCTACAAGGCTGCGTGCTACCACCAACGCTTTTTCTTCTGCATATCAATGACATGTAACATGAAAACCGGTAACATTTATTGCTATGCAGACGACAGAACTGGTGATGCTTTATACACCGACCGTGCCAATATATCTCGGGAAAACGACGCCGAGTACCGGGACAAACTTATGTCTGCAGTCGAGAGTAAGTCGAGGCGACTAAATCTAGTCCAGTTCAATCCCCAGAAGACACAAGTTTGCGCGTTTACCGCTAAAAATAACCCCTTCGTCGTATCTCCTCAGTTTCGAGGCACTCCCCTTGTTGCCTCAACCAGTATCGGAATCCTCGGCGTCGACATATCGAGTGACGTGCAGTTTCGTTGTCACTTGGAAGAGATGGCCAAATTGGCCTCTAAAAAGCTTGGGGTGCTCAGCAGAGCGGGACAGTATTTCATGCCGGCTACATGGATTACCGTTCCCATTTCTGGGCTGGTGGCCCCCAGTTCCAGCTCATTCCATTTGATCGCATCCAGCGCAGAGCAGTTCGAACCGTCGGCGACCGAGCTCTTTCCGATCGGCTTGACTTACTGGCAATGCATAGAGATGTTGCATCTCTTTGCGTATTTTACCGCATCCACCTCGAGGAATGCTCTGACGCATTGTTCGGACTAATTGCAGCCGCATAATTTCACCATTGCACATTGCGACAAAACTCGCGATAGCATCTGGATGACTGGCGGTCCACCATTGTGCGATTTAAAAGAAGTTTTCTTCTTCGCAAAACTTGCTTATGGAATCGACTACCACCAGAGATTTTTCCAGACCAATACGACTTAGGGAGCTTCAAGAAAAGAGCCTATTCCTTTTTAAAACGCCGGCAACGCATCTGCAATTCCTCTGGTGTTGCAGTTGCTTATGGGCGGCGGTAATCACTTTCCATCAGGTGAGCCGTATGCTTGTTTGCCCCCTCTACAATAAAAATGTAATAAAAAATTGTCATTTTAGCAAAATTACTAACAAAACTGGTACACAAAACTTTGTTAAGAGAGGTCTTTAATTGAATATGTTGTGTATAATTTCTTTTTGTAAGGAATCCAATATAAGTATGTAATGGAAAATTAAATGCACTGTGAGATTTATCCATAATTGATGGAATAGTTTGTAATACCGTTGACGCAGCCTTTTTTACTTTTACCTAATGAGATTTTTAAAACAGTTTGTCATATATTAAGATAGCTTTCATATTTTCATCTTCGGAATAGTCGAACCAATTGTGATAAAACATTACAAGATTTCTATCTTGTAAAGTTTCATCACGGCAATGCCAGGAGAGATCTTCTAAGCTATATTTAATCCGAAAAACAAAGATTTTTTTCTAAAAATAGAAAATTTAATAAAATAAATGGTCTCTAATTATCACAAATCTAAATAACGCCACATTAATAGATCCAACTCAGGCGAAGTCAGGGCGGATCGCATATGTGTAATAATTGTGTTCGTCTTTGTCTCCTAAGCAACTATAAAATTTCAAATGTAATTGTTACAGAAAAATCCGCTACCAAATATAGAAGAGATAAACCTAGCAGGAACAATACCAGAAATCACTAATAACTTAACGAATCAGCACAACTCCTTAAGGCCGGAATTCATTCACAACTTGGAACAGATTATGAAGGAATGTGTTCAGGCTTGTGAAATAGTATCACAGTTGCCTGCTGTGAAAGCTCTAATAAATTCTACGGCCACTTTCGACTTGGTCATTGTTGAAGTGTTTGGAAGCGAGTGCTTCCTTCCTTTCGGTAGAAGGTTTCAAGCTCCCGTAGTCGGTCTTCTTTCAAGCGTGCCTCTACCTTGGGTCAATGAACAGCTGGGAAATCCGGAAGCAACTGCCTACGTACCAGCTTATATGATGGCTTACGGACAACATATGTCTCTTTGGGAAAGATTAGTCAACACGATAGCTGTTTTGTGGGCTAAGGTTATGTACAAGTACAAATCACAAAATCCTTCACAGGTAATAAATTATATCTTATATCTTATTAATTTATATTATTGACATTCTATATGTTTAATTACCGCCTACCCAAAGTCCTTGGCTGAAAGTAGACCTCCGTCATTGATTGTCTCATATGGGGGATTTCCCCTTTATCGCCCGTTTGGCAGATGGGTTGGCAACCGCAGTTTCTTTTGGTTCTTATCAGGAAAATGCTGCTGCTTATCTCATTTTTAAGTTTCCCCCTGTCGCCTCTTACGACACTCACAAGATGATATGGGGGAGACATGATAAGAGGAGATAATGGCAAAATCCTTCTTATAAGTGTCCTGTTGTACTATTATGTATTCTGTGCTATAAGGCAATTTATGTTCAGCGGTGGTTTTTATAGACTGTGTTCGTATGGATGCATAGCTGGATATATTACCAATATTTAATTGATTACAGTAATAAGTCGGCAAGAATTAATAAGCCATTCAGACATAATTTTTACAGGTGATAGCAGATCGTCTGTTTGGTCCGGGACCAAAGCTGGAGACGTTAGCTCGGAACTATAGCCTGGTGTTGTCAAATAGCCATTTTAGTATAAACGAAGTGCGACCATTAGTTCCGGCTTTTGTTGAAGTTGGTGGGCTGCATTTGGATAATTCGCAAACGTTGCCCGAGGTAAGAACTATCCACATTGTAAACTGGCTGTTTTAATTTTTTGCGCGGACCTACCTAATTATTTTTCTAAAATAAAATCTAAGTTTCTAATAAGTAATCTAAGTTACTCCTTATAACATCAGCTATCTGCCAGGTACCCGTCAAAATCGGTCCAGCCGATTCGGAGATTAGCCGGGACAAACAGACAGACAGAACGATACACAGACAAAAATTTTAAAATCGTGTTTTTGTTATATATAATCTCATATGCATTTAGTAAAAATCTGTTATTTTGACATTAAAGACACTTCAATTTTCTTATATTTGTATAGATTATTATATGAATTTTTATTTTTAATTATTTGTGGTACCAACTATGTAATTAACAACTTATTTGAGGAGGGACTAACAGTCCATATGATGGTAAGCAGCTACTGGATCCCATAAGCACAACTTCAAACAAACGAACAAAGCTAAAAATGGGACAGTCTGTAATTATACTGTTTTATGCGATAAATTATCTTAACATAGTAGCGCTCTAGGGTTTGGTGACAGAAATAAGTAAGAGGGTTATATCAACCAAAACGGACTCTTATGTTAAAAGGGAGTAATACCACGTCGTCAAATATTATATCGTGTTATAATTATAATAAATATCATATCTATTAAGGTACGTGAGAGTAATATGGCAACCTTAAGCTTTACCGCCCTATAAAACCAAAACTAGGAGAAGGATAGAGATAAAAACAAAAAGTCGTATACTATAATATAGCAAATAAGCTTTGGCAATAATTAGGAACACTTCGAAAAATCTACTTAAAAACACAATACTAAAATCGACAAAATTATTTTAATTTGACCTTTATTTGATTGACTGCTGAAGAGTATTACAGAACTTTCTATGCAAAAAAAGACTGTAGATTTTGAGTTATAAGAGAGTGACCATATTAACCGAAAAACCATATTACCCTCACGTACTATACAATTTAAAAAAAGAGCCTATAACGTCGTACAACTTCGCAAAGGCCTCCAATATTGAGAGAATAATGAACGAAATATACCGCCGCGTTGTTCTTACTGCGATCGAGTCGTCACGAAAATTTAAGTTCATTTCTTTTTACTGCCATACTGCGTGAGAAACCATTTCCAAACGGCGTCAACACCTAAAGCTATTTTTTCCGATTCCGATACCGATATAATACACATAAAATTTAAACCGAATTTTTCATCCAACTCATGACCTATTACCATGTTTAGACTGCCTAGCTGTTACATTAACTCACTAAGTAAACCATCAAACTGCGACAAATTCACAATGTCTTCATTCGTGCTTGCTTTCTAAATCTTCTTTCTCTAAGGCATCTTAATTTTTTGCGGTAGACAATGTGATATCAAGTCCATTGAAAAAGCTGACTCACAAAGAGCATATTAATTACACTACACTGAATTAAGGAATTCTATATAGGATTATGGAAAACAAGTGATTTTGAAGTTCCTAATTGCTTTTCGCTGAATTAAAGATCGTAACTCAGTCTGAGAGCAAACATCTACGCGAATAAACGACTTTTACACTGTCGCCTACTTTGTCCCAACATTGCAAATTAAACAAAACAAATTAAATTAAACGTAAAAATGCTGGGTGAAAGAATATTTGTCATGATACAAAATATCAAGTATTGGAAGTATGGTGCCCTTCTTGTCGAAATCAAAAATCGTTTTAGAATGGAATCTGCACAATGTCATGAATAGTTTACTGATTAAATAAAACAAACATAGGAGCTTCGCTTTTGGAATCTGTGTTTAAAGTTTCTGACTGAACGTTCTAAGCTAATAAGATAAGCGAGTTAAAGCATATTACACTACCTAGAATTCAGGGATCCTAATTAGAATTTAGGAAAACAAACGAATTTGTATAAATGATAAATGAATGGTATAATCAGGAGGATTATACCGCACTGAATCCAGGATTCGCAGTCGCAGAGCGTCTGCGCGGATACAAGACTTAAAATGCACCTACATTGTCCAAGCATCAAAAATAGGACTTTCTTTAGTGTCAAAATAGCACAAATAAAAAGATGATCTCAGAAAAAAGATTTGCTACATATTTTAAACATAAAAATGCTATCGGATTTTACCAATTATTTAAGGGAATCTGCACAATTTTATATTATTGCTATACATTTTGGATAAAAAAGGGTTTGTCTCAAATGTAGGGAGTATTTTCAACTTTTCTCTTACTGCTGCTGTAATTTTCTCCTTTTCTAAAGCCTAGTTAGTTTACTAAATTCAGTGTAGTGATAAAATATAGTTAATGACAATACAGTTAAAATTTTATTTTATCCTATACCTTTAAACGAGCAAGTCTTGTATATATATATATTTATATATATATATATATATATATATTTAATATATATATATATATATATATATATAATATAATCGGAATCTCGGAAACGGCTCCAACGATTTTCATAAAATTTTGTGTCCAGGGAGTATCGGGGGCAATAAATCGATCTAGCTAGGATTTTTTAGAAAATGTGTTTTTGTCCGTGTTTTCAGGCAATGAAAAACTGCTACAATATAAGAAGGTAATTCTTGACACTGTGTTAATTATCGTAATGGCTCAAGTGGATATAGAGCGGTCGCGAAATCGTAATGCCTTGGTTCGCGTCCTGCCTTCGGTCCGATTTTTTTCCTTTTTTTTCAAGTTCCCTTCTTTTGTGAGAAAATCTATTATTTCGAGCCCTTTTTTTAATATTTTTTAAAAATACGAAAATTTTAATTAAGCTAATTGCACTCATGATGTTTTATTCAAATAACCAGTTCAGTTTTTTCTATTATGTCAATAAGATCAAAAAATATTATTCATCAGTATGTAATTTGTATCTAAATGTAATTTCAAAAAAAACCGAGCAAAGCTCGGTCATCCGGGTACTTTTTATTAAACAATAAGGTTAAGGTTATTATTCCAAATTTCTTGTATCTTTGATATAGGTTTATATTTTGTTGTGGACACGTGTTGATAACACAATACAATATTTATATGATGTTGTGTGGGTTTTAATAAAAATCTATTTCATTAAATTATGAAATTTGAGAAGTAACAAATATTTTCTATTAAACATAAATATAATTCAGTGGCAACAGAAAGCATAGAATACTTTCATTAGCATTACGCAGTCTGTTACAATAAATAACCATTAACCCACATTACACATAATGCAGAAGGAAACCCGACTATCGCGTCGACCTGCAACCTCAGACCCATCGATACTCCCGATAGTGTCAAGTGAATCATATTGTTAAAGCCGAAACACAGCATGTTTGTGTACTCGCAGAGTTTCGCAGTTGCAATATGTGTCGACCTACTTTTACATTTCACTATCAACATAACAGATTCTTACTGAAACTTGCGTTTGTTATAACTCTGCTTTGGTATCTGTTATCAAAGATATAAAGTCTTTTAATCTGATTGTCCGTTATGGTAGAGGAAATGTTTAATATTGAAAAACTTTTCAAGTACGTTCACGCAGATTCCATATGTGGAGTTTATACCCAGTTTATTCTTAGTCCTAAGAGGGTTCTGCATACTTGACAGAATTAGTTTCTACTCGAAATATTTTTTTCAAACATACATCTTTCCTCACGATAATTTTCTTCACCGCCCAACACTATTAAATTTCTATTAAGAATTTCAGTGGTGCAGGCGGAAATAGAACTCGGTTTGTTCATTTATTATGAAATTTTTAGATTAGTGGGTATCTCCGGATCTAAATCAAATAGTAAGAACTTGTTATAGTGATGAAAATTTCGTATATTTATCCAGGAGTTGAAGTCTCTATTGGACGAGTCTTATGATGGCGTAATATACTGGAGTTTTGGCTCTATGTCGAGAATAGAAACAATCACGAGCGAGAAGCTGGTGCAGATATTTGAGGTGATATCGGAACTATCGCAGACAGTGCTGGTGAAAATGGACAGGAGGATGCTTGCTAGAAACCTCACAGTTCCAGATAATGTGTACACGATGGACTGGATTCCGCAGTACAAAACACTTTGTAAGGTTTTAATTTAATAATGAACAATTATAAATCTCTTATTACAGTCTAATTTGCAAAAAAAAATAACGTTTAGGAATCTTGAGACCTTCGACAAGTCACGGAATAAATATGTCAGATACATAAGAATAATAGTTAAAAATAACAGTTATGGCGTGTAGCGTTTAAGGTTTGGAGGTTTAGAAGCTCGTAGCTTAACTCTTTAGTTGGCTCTACCACGTAAAGTTGCTCCAAGGAAGTGCAGTTATATTATGGATGTAGCACGAATAAGGCCGGCTCGACCGGAGTAGGACCACGCTCTCACAGAATACCAGCGTAAAATAGGAGCTAATTGCTGCTGTGTTTCGTATGGTGAATGTAGAGAACCGGCGAACCTTATACTGGAAACGAGGCATTCCTTCAGGGGTGACGACGCAGCTGCATTTTAATTCTTAATTGAGGATAAATGAAGGTGTCTATAAGCAGCATTCACTTACCATCAGATGGATTGTGGTCATTTATCACCCTTATTATATTTAAAAAAAAACACCTATACGAGTCAGACATACTGTTATAAGCGAAAACAAACATTTGTGCAAAAAGAAACATTGCAACCAAAACTACTTTCAATCTAATCGTTTAAAACATTTTACATTGATGAATTCAATGATGTTTATTCCACCAGGTCACCCAAATATTAAAGTATTCATATCACACGGAGGTCTACTCGGAACCCAAGAGGCAGTTGCATGCGGGGTGCCCATGCTAACCGTTCCTCTATACGCTGACCAGGCTCTCAATGGTCGAGCCATGCAAGACCGCGGAGTTGCCCGCACCATCACACTCAAGGAAACTAACAAAGAAACATGGAGGGACGCCCTACACGACTTACTTACGAATCCTAAGTGAGTTTCATTTGTTATTGTATTTAAGGGTATAATATGCACAAAAAAGCAATTGGCAACATGTCCTGTTGTGTTTTGTGCGGGATGTAATGTAATTGCCTTCTAGTAAATGATATTGCACCAGGGGTTGTTTCCAATATTATCGTTAAGCATCGCATAAGCAATAGGAAGTAAGGATAAGAAGTTCTTCTGTTTTGGTGCATTCATTTTGGTACTATAATATTAAATCCTGTGCAGTTGAATATCATTGGCAATATTAAGATTTAAGAGAGTAAAGAAGAACAGTATACAGTAATAAAGTACAACTAAAAATAAGAGTTAGGTAAGAATATGCTTACGCGTTGCAAACACATTCTAAAACAATAGCCTGATTTGTTAATCAACTTACCTAAGAAAAATCACGCGACCAGCTTCTATATCATACAAATAATGTAATAAATTTTTATATGATATAAAAGTTTTACTATTCAATTATTTTTTTAATTTTTAGTTATCGCTGGACATGTTTCTAGGTCCGTTCATTTCATTGAATGCGTCATGTGCCCTGTTTATCAAAATTCAAAAGTCTACTTGTTCACAAGTTACACTTTACAAGAAAGTTTTAACAAGTTCGTATAAAATACGTTTATCAAAAAATCTACAGAGCTTGTAAAATTTAACACTTGTAGGTTCTACTTGTAAGTTCTAAAATCAAAAAAGTGAGCCGCATTATTTTCCCGCCATTTTTTTTTTTGCTTTTTATTGAATATTCCTATTTAAACGCATGGCTGTATGGTATATTGTCTGTGCCTAACTTTGATGGGACATTCAAAAAAGTAGTAGCGACAAAGTATTCCCGCCGTATATTTATAATTTGAAGTGAGATTTTACGATTTCTTGAAAAATGTCTAGAAATGATAATAAAATACATAGAATAACGGTTAAGCGATAGGATGTCCAAACAAAAATAAAATGGAAGAGTGGAATTTACATATTACTTGTCAGTCGCTTGGTCTTGTACCTGCGACTATCTTGTTATTTGTAATATCAATTTAGTTTTGACAGGGCGTGGTTTCTGTTTGTATTTCTTTCTAAATGGCTACCCAAAATGTTAATTAATTGTTCCAATTTTTCAGCTTTAAGTCGAAACCTATCATTAAATTCGTAGGTCGTCTCCAGATAGTATATAGTAGTCAATTCTTGTTCTATATGTTCTTAGTTCCATTATTCTAATATTTTCATCATCGCTTGAGTCACTTGACCATATTTTAAAAAGGACAATCAAATTTAAAAAATATTACAGCACTTCTTGTGACACTTGTAAGACGGAATGGAATGTCGCCGGACACTCTGGATTTGCTATGATTTTCTACAAATTGTAACTTACAAGGGATTTTTGATGAACGAAATCACGAATACTAATGTAAAAATATACTTGTGAAATAAATAATGACCCTTGTAACCTGTAATTACACATTTACTTTTGATAAACACATATTTGTAATAATTATTTTTTTTACAGGAAAATTGCTTGTAATACAAGGCCTGTAAGTTTTGATAAACAGTGCACAGTTCTAAAATCTTTGTGTCGCCCTCGTATATTGCATTTTCATATTAGACGATCGCCATATTGGATATAAAATGACGTCACTTTACTTATAGTGTTTCGCTCATCAAGCCCTTTCATTTGATACGCGTATCGTAGGGGTTAACTATGGACATTATAAATCACCATTTTGTAACGTCTGCCATATGGTATTAAAATGGCGGCATGTAAATAATCGTGCATTGTCACGAGAACCAAACGTGTGTGCCAAATTTAGCCAATTTTAGAACGGTAGCTTCAGTCGAAGTGGGTGAAATATTGATTGCAAAATTCCAGGGCATACTTACAAGTAAAGTTAAATAAAAGTTTTTAATAATAATTAAAAGTAATAAAATAATTTTCACATATAGACTTTATAGTACGTGGTACACAAAAGAAAATGATAAATGAAAATGGTAAAAAGAGCACATGTACAAATGCATTTATTCCATGTTAAAATGTCTTCAAGCAGTGAAATAATAAAGGATAGTTGAAAGAAATAGAGGTAGACTCAGTGTGCACTTTCATATAAAATACATTATACAGCTATATCATTTAAAATTTTAGTTTCTAAAGTTAATTTTTACTTTTCATTCAAATTTAGATTTTTCTCATATATTGAGATACATTTTGATTGCAAGAATATCTTCGGATTGATGAATTCCATAAGTTAAGCACTATATATTAAAAAGATGCTAAGATAATTAAGTCTGCAAGATATTAAGAATAATATGTCATCATCATTTTGTAGTTATAAATAGACCAAATCGAAATCACTTTCCAGGCGCGTGTCTAGTGTACTTTTTGTATCTATAATGTTGACTTTTATAATCTAAGCAAAAACAAAAGTACTATTGTGACATGATAACCTCTTCGGTCATTTAATGCAAATGCACTTTTAATATTCTTTAAGTAACATCAGATAACTTCAACAATTCTAAACATAATTTTAAAAGAAATCTGATGACTTTGCAGGCCATCCCTGGAACTTCCCGCTATGTTCGATCTCAAAACGCTCAACAAATATTTTTATGAACTAATAGTTAACCCTCAACCTTCGTCAAAAACGATCCGAACAGAAATTTTGAAGTTATTAAAAGAAAAACACGTTTTAAATTTTTTTGATGATACTTTCCGAACGGATCAACCGATTTTGATGTAATTTGTGACAATCGACAAGGATGGCCTGCAGGGTACAAATAGATTTTTTCATCAGTACTTTACAATTTACATGAGATTATGTTGGTGATGTTTTTATGTAGGAATATAAGATCGCGAATATTTCACCGTTTTTTCAAGGATTTCATGTGAAAGAAAGCCAAGCGCTGTAAGGTCTCCTATGATTAATGCCAGAGCAAATTAGCAAAACAACGTGACGAGTGAAATAGTACTGGATGGTCTCTACCTATTGCCAGTGTACAGCTTAAATAATTTTCCGTGGTATACTTTTGTCTACGTGGTAGAGCCATGCTGCAGTTATATTAGTAGTATAGTTGTAGCACGAATGCGTCGGCTCGACCGAGGAAAGACCACGCTCCCACAGAATACCAGCGTAAAACAGTACCTTAATGCTGCTGTTTCGTATGGTGAGTGTAGAGAACCGGAGACCCTTTTTACTGGAAACGAGGCATTCCATCTTAGTCCTCACGGCTGATAACGCATCTGCATTTTGATTCGTAATCGAGGATAGATGTAGATGTCTATGGGCCACAGCAACCACTTGCCATCAGGTGGACTGTATGCTCGTTTGTCACCCTATTCTATGAAAAAAAAAAACTTGTGTATTCCAATTGATTTCTAACGAAAGCATCAAAGTGATTTAAAAAAGATTTTGGCTGAAAAACTCTTGAGGTTTATTTAATAAGGATTTATTTTTCAGCTTTTTTATTTATCGTGCTGGTTTTAACAATGCTACACACGTGTATGTAACACGAACTTTAATCTCTCCTCGGCGTTAATCTATGCTTTTATAGTCGATGTCGCTAACTTTGGAGCATATAGCGTAAAAGGATTGACGATAATGTGACTCCGTGTCAGTGGTGTAATTAACTGCCAGTCATAAGTTTAAGACATACAAAACTATAATTATTTCATGTTGGAGAGACAATGTTTCCTTTTTAAATACAACATTCAGCAAGTACACGTTGTAAATATTTGCCACAATATTTTATTTTTTTTCATAATACACATTGTAATTATCTTTTTATATTTTACAGGTACAAGCAAAATTCTCTTAAGTTAAAAGAAAAATTCCTGGATCGTCCTCTGCCACCTCTAGAGACTGCAGTTTATTGGATTGAATATGTTCTGCGGCACCAAGGTGCAAGCCATTTGCGCTCACCAGCACAAGACTTATCATTTGTACAATATATATTATTAGATATAGTAGCAATTAGTATAGCTGTTACATTACTCACAGTTTATATTCTCTATATACTGTTCAGATATTTAAGTACAAGGTGCATTCGGTGGTGGCCGAAAGAGAAACTTGTCTTTGAGAAAAGATTGTTCAGAAGGAATAGAAGTTTAATTCATTGCTTCGTCTGGATATATAAGTTTAAGCCTAATTAACACATGTTGAAGTGATAGGTTCAATGTTATGTAAATGTGTAAATAATAAACGTGTAAGATATTTGCGATATCTTTATTGTCATGTTATCCCAGTGGATGAGATTTTAGGTGCAACTGCTGATCATGTGGCTCGAATCCAGGCCAAAAATTTTGATACTGGGTTTTTTTTGGCGAGAAAACTCTCAGTAGCAGTCCGGAGCCATGTAGTTGGCGTGTTTCACCCTCGTGTTTCAACATATAAACGTCGTTGGCCGTACGCTTGATCTCTTTTCGGACGTATCGGATTGCCGTCCCACGAGGGAATACAGAGTGCACCATAGAATACTATAATACATATATAATAGAACGGGAGAGTAGGTGAAGCCCGCGTAGCCACTAAAATGTCAATTCACACGTATAACTGCAACACGAGACGTGTTTTGACGTTTTAAACCGTTTCCAAATTTCGCATGCAAATTATTTAAAAAATGCCAAATTGCACACTATTTACAAATAAATATGTATTAAAATTTAAACGATTTTTTTAATGATGGTCTTGAACATTAAACAAAAGTCTAAAATGTATAAATTTATTCAGTCTTATCTTACACAGCGAATCGGGTTTGGCGACGCCAAACCTCGTACAAAGTAAAGTTAACAGCCATTCTATTGTGTATTACTATTATAGTATTCTACGGAGTGCACCTGAGCATGCGCACACACTAGTGCACTATAATTATGTCTTGCGCAGATTGAAACTGGCCGCAGCCGTTAACAAAACCTTTTGCTTTGGATGTAGAGCAACACATTTGCGTTTGTGAGGCTATTAAACAACCCAACCAGCCAGCCTTCATAGGACATGAATTAAACGTTTGAAGGCTCCGTGGCGC